GTTTGACAGCTAAACGAGTTGGGAAAACTTAGTTGTAAGTGTGTAGACTTCTTTTTGTGCTAGAAGAGCTGCGAAACTCGCCCAGGTCCAAGAAGGGGGGTTTGTTTGAGTCACCCTACTTGATCAAACTTTTGACCCATGATGCAGTGGGGGGATTGGTAGTTTCGTTCGCGGACTCTTTCCTCAGTCCCCTTCTCAAACGTTCGAACTGCAAGACATTGTTTTAGGGCTTTCCTGTGCGCGCTTCCCGGAGCAAGTTGATCGCTTGGCTGTCCGGTGTATAAGGTGTAAGGTATAGACGCCTGACTCTTGATGCTACTACGCAGAGTAAGAGCCCCTTCGTGAAAAAGACTTGTTCGTTTTTGACCGTTCTGGGTAATAGGCTTGTGACCATGATCATCGTATGGGTGCTTAGAGTGTGCGGTTTTTTGGGCCGGCCTTCCTCGGGACAAGAAAGAAATGCTGATTCCATAAACATGTAAATATTTGTCTTTTGGAACCAGCATCTTACTGTTCTCATACTCCTGTCACGGCCATCAATTCGATTTTATCTCGAGACTGCCTTGTACAACAAGGAGGCTCGCTGTTTTTCGTCCTTGTGGATTTCCTCGTATGAGGGCAGCCTGAGGAACTTAATTTCAGTCGGTTTGACCCACCGGATGATAGCGGTAACGAGGCCTTATCATAACGACAAGGTGTATGCCTTACAAAAAACGGACGTTATTCACCATTGTGGTTTGGTAAGCACTCTTCCACTTTGCACGAGTAACTTTAGAAATGTGGAAGATCGATGATTTTATCAAATTGGCCCGGAAAGGCTACACTGCACATCATAAGTGAACTACTAGTGATTGAGCTATATTGCTTTCCGTGTGCGTGTACATCTGTCGGTGCTACTCGCCTTCCAGGATGGAGACCGCGTGATCCTCACTGCCTGGTTGGAGACACTACAAGATATGGCTGCCAACCGATGTCAGTGGCGTTCTTGTTGTCAGTTTCTGTCCAGATTGCCTGAGTGAATGTCTGGAGGTGTAGGCACCTCGGAATGATTGTGTTAAGCTAGCACTAAGTCCCTCCCCCATCCACCTTTATTCTTTTCTTTACAATAAGGCTTTCAAATAAGTCAGTCGGTGCTACTCGCCTTCCAGGATGGAGACCGCGTGATCCTCACTGCCTGGTTGGAGACACTACAAGATATGGCTGCCAACCGATGTCAGTGGCGTTCTTGTTGTCAGTTTCTGTCCAGATTGCCTGAGTGAATGTCTGGAGGTGTGGGCACCTCGGGATGATTGTGTTAAGCTAGCACTAAGTCCCTGCCCCATCCACCTTTATTCTTTTCTTCACAATAAGGCTTTCAAATAAGTCATGGTTGTACGGCAGTGAAGCATCAGTGTTGAACACTGATGTCATGCTGTCAGTGATGATGATGATGATGCGTGTACATCTGGACACGCCCAATGATCGCATCTCCACACGTTGTTTCACTTCTAACGGAGTTGTACTCAGTGTCTTGCACATAATATTTTCATGATCATCGGTTTTAACAACTCTTTCTTGTGTGTTCTTTCCGCTTAACACGGCAGATGTGCTAATCAATAGCCGACTGCGAAAAGTTGGTAAAGTAGCAGATTATTGTGCCCTTAGGTAATGTTGTTTCAAGCGCTGTAAGTGCTCGAAACAAGCTTGAACTTGAAGTGGCTGAAGTCGAGTGAAGTCGTGATGGTCACTTATTGCTGTTGATCATTTTTCCGAAAACCAATCTATGTCATTGTAACTTGAAAATAAGTCACGAACATGAACAGTTCGAGTGCATCACCATTTCCATCATCTGGCATTTCCATTAATTTTTTGTTTCAGATATTGCATGTTGGTGCTGTCCACTTCACTGTAAATGAGATGTTGATATTGAGATGTTGTTGGTATTTTAGATAGATATAGAATGCTTTTGGAAGTTGATTTTGGGGAAGGGACTTAGGAAAGTGAAGACAAATTTGTCAACATATATCCGTTCCAGAATACATTAGTTACTGCAATTGCGTTTTTATTATCCCATATTGATGGTTAATTAGCAACCAAAATGGACAATCGGGCGTCCGTTTAACATGCAGAAGATGATGCCCAAAACATCATTATGCGTGGGAAGTTGCAAAGTTACTTCATTACATCTTCCCAGCACAATTCGTTTGTTGACCGGGTTTTCGCTTTGCGTTAATGTTGGGTATGCGGGCACAAGATCCAAGGAAAATGTCGCTGATGTATCATTCCTTAGTTCCTTTAGTATGGATGTAATTAGGTGCTCGTGCAGATCAGTATTACCAAAAAACGAATCTTTTGACTGATTTGTGATTCATGGGACTCAAAGATGTTCCAGACGTAGCGCACAGCTATCACAGCCCAGAGTGAGCAGTGGGACGATACGTGCTCTGGTTGCTCAAGTTGAGATAATAGAAGAAGCTCAGGCTCTAAACTCAGCTGTCTCAAGTGCGAAGACTTGGACCCCTGTTTTTCGACTTCTGGTGGATCCTTAACATTTTCACACGTCCCACTTCAACAAAGGTCATTTATGGGCATATCTGGCTACGCCGGGGAGATGAGGGTGTGAAGGTTACGACATATTTTCTAACGTTATCCTTGTGAGATGTCGTTGACACCGCCCATAACTGCGCAAATTCATCTTATCCACGTCCAACCTCGTCATCCCCATGTGGTCACTGTGGAATGATCCGGTTTTGTGTGTAGTAGTCAAGTTGCATCCGCCCTTATCTCATTTTGGCACACAGCCTTAAGACTTCAAAAGTCTACCGGTATTGTTTTCGCTAGTTGTTGTTAGCTCATTTCGTTCCAATCTAGCCATAAAATACCAATAAACTTTGCTTTTACGACTTCTGCGTGAAGCGATACTTTCTCGCTCGCTCGTTTGCTCTGTGAACCAGTTCTAAGCGTTTAAAGATAGTTCTGTGTGCGTTTTAATGGCCGTCACTGGTGGGTAGTAAATCTCATCAAATTGTAATACACCATCAGTTGCGCTGTTTCTACGAGCTGTATGTAATTTTAACTACTTTCCCTCCTTGTCATTTTATGGTTCTCGGAAAAAGATAGTGGGGTCAGCCGCTGATTCGTTTGAGCCGGTCACTTTTTGGCCTCATTTAGGGTAACCTTTCGTGTGGAATTTATGAATCACTCCATTGGTGCTTTATAACCTCAACTTCCGTTTCTGCTTAGATTTAGCATATATGCGACTTGTTTTTATCTGCTGCTGGAATACCAGCTGGCCAAAGTACAACCTGTGTTCTCAGTACTTCCTTGTTCTGGCCGTCTGTTATAGCTAGCACAAAATTGTTCCTTCACAATCTACTCTTCCACACGAGGTAATTGTTATTGACGTACATGAGCAACCCTTGCCGTGGCTGTATGGTTTGACCTTATTAACCAGATCAACCGTCTTCGTAATGTGACTCTGTTCGGCACGGTATCATGTGAACGATCTCCTTGCGCCCAATTGAGTAGCCTCGATAAGGTAAAAACTTGCGTCACTGGACTTTTTTTGTTGGGGGGGGGGTTGTCTGCCGTTGCTTGTTCCAAAAAAAAGCCCGGCGTCCGAAGCATCATCTTTATCCTTCATCGAACGGCCGTGCATACTCGGTATTTAAACCTCTTAGGCAGCGTGCTGTCCAGCAATTGTTGGCAAGTTTGGATCAATTTTGTCCGTGACTGTTTCCATTAGTGTGAACCAACTTAGATGGGCAACTTGTTACCCGGAGTTTGCAGCGTTTTGTCTTATTCGGTTGGATCCACGAAATTCCCTCGCCATGTCTCCCTTGCAGATGTCAGTTGAAGCATTCATTAGGTTACTGTGTCCTTTTAACTACGAGAAGACAATGGCCTCAGGCATGATGGAGCATCCAATGGCCACAGTTAGTCATCATCGTTATTATTGCCATCCATACTGGTTCTTCACCACCATACGCTTCCAACAGCTGCTCAGATCCTTTCATAACCATGACGGCGATCAGATATTCAGAAAGTACGGTATGTCAGACGGTGTCTGTTCTCCCTAAGAGCTATGGTCCAATATAATCATGCGCAGCTATGTGTTTTTGCCATAGTAACAATATCAATCCTGTTTTAGACAGGATTCCTACGATTTCATCTATCCTCAGTCGTGTAATTGTTCTGTGCCCAACCAGTGGTTTCATGGCATCAGGCCATCTTATTGGTCGTTAACAGCGAACGCTATTATGTTTGCATGGAACGGTTCCAGTTAAATTGCTTTATCATCATAACTTTTCGTGTAATCATATCTTTCATTCACATGTGATTATGTTGACTAGTTTCAGATTGGTGTTATGACTCTTGTTGTGGCCCAAACATACTCCCTATACTCAAGCTGCCTATTCTGAGGTGGTCCTCAGACACAACGCGATATGTACTGAACCATCTGCCAAGGTCAAGCTCTCGGGAAAGCTCATCACTCCCACCTACGGTTTTGTGTAACCAGTTCACACCGAAGCTAGATGGATCATTCTATAGCTTGGCCCGTGTATTGTTCACACGACTAGTATTCACTAATCTTTCGAGTACTCCATTCGGCGGAGTGAAATGTGCTATGTACACTTGGTAGTAATACGATTGACCAAGCTTGCCTTGATGCGAAATGTGTACTGACCATGAGCGAAGACCTCCATGTAACTCGAATGCAACATGAATTATTCCATTTGACTTGTGCTCTATAATCTCCCTTTGGTCACTACGTACAGCTATTTCTCTATCGGAGGTGAACTTCATGCTTTTTCGACTGAAAAACACTTCTACGGGCAGATTGGTTGCCGAGTAGCTTAAAAGAGTTTCACAGGGTACGATGAGATGTTTTACTGATGCCTCTTGTTCTCATTTTAAGTCAAATTTACTTGCTGATTGTGGGAAGTTTTTGCCGTTTTCTTTTGATAGAACAGCAGACCCTATCAACATACGAGTGCTCCATTTTTCCTTTTCTCTCACAGATGCTCTTGTGCGCATGGACAGGAGCCAGTTGCAAAAATTCGCTCAGTATCTGATCGCCTCACATCCAAACAAAGTTCTACCAAGTGCACAACACCTGGCTGATCAGTTGCTGCAGCCGGAATCCAATATCAACAAAACTTCTGGTAAGCATTTGTTCTAGCGTTGGACTAAACACAGAGCACAGCTTCCCATCCCATGAGTCACATAGCCAAAGCCTTTCCCAATCTGCAGAGCCTTTGGCGTCCTCAACCCGAAACCTTGGCCCTTTCATGGGTACATGAAATGTTCGTTTTTCGGAATCCTACTCCGTTTTCACTATTTGATAAGTCCTTGGCCGGTCTGTGTGATCGAACATTTTATGCCCCAAGTACTTGGTATGTAGTAGGTCTTATTTTCCGTTACTGATGGACGGAAGAAGTATCTTGTCACGCAACTGATGCGTCAATACCATGGACCGCTACGTTACCGGCAACTTTAATTGGTTCCCGTTTTTTATTGAGACATCTCGACCTGGGCTCACCAAATTCATGCACATCGTTAACCGTTCGACGGAAAATACTTTACCAATTTTTCCGCTGATGGTAGGGATGTAATTCCGCTACACACTGTGTTCGTGTTGAGGGCAATAAAACTTGAATTCAATGGGCAGTTTTCATTGATCGAGTTTGGAAAGGTCGGCTGCCTCCCAAAAAATGGGTTGAACTGGTTGAGATTGATCAGTGAATGAAAGCTCGTAAGTGAAACTGTCCCCGGAACGCCTGCTCGATTAAGTATGATCGATCAAGTGCTGAGTACACCATCCAGTTGAAGGAATTCAAGGAAAAATCCCCGCTCTGTTCCATGCCAGTTTGTTTACAACCCCAACGTGCTGCAACAACTTTCCTTACTGCTATTTAAACAACGGACGATGATAATACGACACAAAGAATCTGCATACGTGGCCTGACATCAATTTTACGGCCACACCGGGTGTGCATTGTTGTTGTACAACGCATCCTATCAGGCTCAGTGGAACGACGAAAGATGCTTGCTGTTGTTTTGGAGCAGGCCAGGTTTCATTACTGGTTGCAGCGCCTTCATTAAAAAAACGAACTGGTTGGAGACGTGTTCTCATGGTGATTAGCTAAATTATCTAGAAGTCGATAAGGTTGCATATTTCTAATTGTAAACCTTACTCTTCTTATTTTTTTTAAATGTCGATCTTAGTTTTCCTGCATTCTCTACTCATTAAACGCACTGGAACCTCTTTGGAACATTTGAGCTGTGCTGTTGTTAGACAGGATTAGAAGGCTGTATGTGAAAAATGGCCTTATAGTCAGTGAAATCAGATCAACGATGTGATGGAATTTCATGACTCCGACAGCTAAGCATTTAGAAAGGTTTAGGGTAGTTTCTGTCTAGTTGTAGGTGGTTAGGGGATTTGTGCAATTTGTATCCACAGCACTCTCTTGCAACAGTCCAGTTCCGAGAGAGCTATCCTGATTCCCAGCTTCTATCTGGATCAACGAGAATACATTATCTGCTCATAAATGTGGGCAATCAGTCATAAGTCAGTTTACCTTCGTTTCAGAGTATTTACAGGTTTGGCTGGAGTTATCTTACTCCATATAGTCGAAGCCGGCTTCAAGCAGTCTTAGCTACCTACAGCTTCCATCACTCATTCATTTACTCTCTTTATGGACCGCAATTTCGAGCCAGGTTTCTAGCTAAGCGCAAGATACTCGACGCCCTACAGATTATGCAGCATCACTGGAACAATATCATTTTCTAATCGTCTTTATGCTCTAGTACCCGCATGGAGATTCCATTTTCAATCTGTCACGTCAAGTTTATAAGCTCACCAAGCATCACTTCGGAAAACCATTGTTATTTTCTGGGTTTGTTTTGTGGATTTGCAGTTTTGGTCTCTTCTCTCCTCTGCAATTGTGCGATTAAAGTAAAACTAGGTCCACTCAAGAAAGATTTTGTGCTTGCTTGTCGTATCCTTATGGACCTCCTGTAGCGCTCACTCGTTTTCTCATGATCCAGGTCATTTGTACCCCGTGTACACCATATACCACAATTATGACTCTCTGCTATCATCTTTTGGCTTGATCCGTCATTACTCTTGATTTAAGGACTGATTTTTTAGTTATGCACCTTGCTAGGCTCTAAGTCCTGTTATCTGACGCTTTCCTCAGAGTATATAAAGCCGCCCGCATCAATACACCTCTTCTTGGCTGAAATTTCTTCTAATTACTCCTACCCACTCTCGTTCGATTTTGCACCCCATCCTTCTTCCGTCACGCACATGCACACTAGTCGGGTCACTGATAGCTAAATTTGGACATGATTGCCTGTCCCCATCTGCCTGTGCTTTGGGCTGATGTTGACAGCTGGGGATGACTAAGCACCAGTCGCGTCTGCCCCGTGTCCTGGTTAGGACGAGCCATGTGGAGTGACTACCCGCATTCCATTAATTTTCGACTGGGGCATAAGGTATTTGATCATGCTGGCTGTCATACATAGCTTTGGTTGACTTGCTGTCGTCCCATTTGTCGGACGAAATCCAATCTACCCGGATAGACTCTTTCCTCTGTGCATACAGTTTGGTGTGGCCCACTTATCCTATGTTTTTATCTCACTATCTTACTGTTCGATTTCGAGTAGAAAACAGTGCTCCCAACATTCAACAGGGCGTCCCCGGCTCCCACAACCTAGTACAAATTTGCTCTGCTGGTTACAGTACACTATTTCTTAGTGCTCTTTATACTGATTTTGTTCTAACTTAAATAACCGACTGTCCCATACTTGTGCATAAATGAGATTTCTCCTCACGTCACTAATTACTAAGGGTCTCATGTACTGTATCATATTGGCATGCAGATACTTTTTATCAGTATCGTCGCTCACTCACGCTTTCAGTTCAACATCAAGACCTTTAAAACTCGATTTTCAAGTTTTTCCTATGTTTCCTGCTTTAACAAAACATGCTCAATGCATCACAGAACGAATGCATCCCCACCACCAGCGATTGGCTTTTTTATGCACAAACACCCACACTATAACCAATTACGACAAAATACTCCAGATGAAAGCCAAGGCAGATAAAAATAAACTCGGCCATGAAACCCGAATATCCCAAACTAGACTTCTATCAAACCCATACACATCCACGATAGTGTTCCGTCTTGCCCAGCATTCCCAATTTTCATACATTGGCAAGCCAAGGTTGGACATCCAGCTTGTGTCGTTGAGACGATCGGATGACCAAGGTGACTTTTCGGTTGCCATCTTTGACTAATGAAAAGCCGAGCGGACTGTTTCACAAACGAGTTCGCTCGTTGCGATCGCTATAACCCATCGTAGCACAGTATAGTTGGTTCAATTTTTAGCCTACTCAGGTAGTTTAAAAATAACCTTGCCTGTTTGACCTCGGTATCTCAGAGGGCTGTCGCTCTGTTGTGCGGCTACTGTACAACTCAAATGTTCCGTTTGCGGTTCGATTGACTATTGCTGTGATCATGATTGCCATTGATTCCTGGTGTTGATTGGTGGGCTGGAATCTTCACAACTTCCGATCATTGTACTGTTGTGGTTGGTGTTGGACGATATCTGATAAACTCGTTGTTGTCCGTCCTAGCATTCTCCATTTTGGCATCATAACGACGTGAAAGCACTCTGCAGAACACATCAGAACTTCAAGCAGAAAATGAAAATTAGATTTTAGTTAGCCACCACAGTCCGTAAGTACACAGTGAAAGCACTTCCAAAGAATCGTTTATGAACGCAGGACTCGCTAACACGACTTCATAAACGAGAGATTCAGTTGTCTTTCGTGAAAACCAAAGTGATTTGCAAGTGAGTGTATTTCTCGAAAACAGTCCAATTTGGGTTCAAGTAGAACATAAGGTTGACGGGGACCACGCCTACCTAATAAGCCCCAAGAAAAACGAAACCGGTCGTGGGCTGTCAAAGAGTTTTCAGCAACCTTGTGAATAGCTTCCTTTATGAAGATTTTATCCAAATTTGAAGATCTCAATGGATCGGACGATCGTATCAGAAGATCGATAGTTAGACAGAAGGAGCACTGTAACGGATGGTGAACGGAAAACGTGATATCTACCTTAACAGATCTATCGAAATGCTTCAGTCAACGTTATCACCTTTCATTCACCGAAGAAATTCAACTAATCATCTCTGAGTAAAGGTGAACGTGATGTATCGGACCACCACTCTGAAGACACCTTGTCAACTCTGACTGCGTCTGATGAACTCGGAAGTTACGGTTTCCTCCCACTTCATACTCATTCGTTTAGCAGTGCTTCTGAACAATGTGTACATTAACTCTACTCATCCACTACATAAACTTTGATGCAGTGAACGCTGTCGTTCACCGTGTCATCTGTCGTGTACTGTAACCTAGCCATCATTTGAATGAGAAAACTACGTTCAGAATCGTTTACTCCCCTCCGTCGAACGTCAGCGCCCATCGTTCAAGGAGTCTTACCAGGTTTATGTATCCAAGTGTGTATTAGCAAAATAAGCACGTCCGACGCATCAACCTGTAAAACATCGCTCTGTTGAATCGTAACTCTGCTGACTGGGGCGAGATGGCCCAAGTGGTTAGAGCGTGAATTCACCGACCCGAAGGTCCGTGGTTCGTACCCGACACCTGGCACTCGACTTCCTCTGTCTAGGCTTGGGCAACGTGGCAGTATCCCAGCCCTCCTGCTTCCTCCGACTGGCACGGCAGCTAGGCTGAACGATTTTTTTTATTCATCATCACCATCATCATCGACAGCATAACACCAGTGTTCAACACCGATGCTGACCGATTACATTTTTCGGTATTCCTGTTCCAGTGTCACTCTGGAAATCCTGTTTCAGAAAAGACTCGTATTACTGACGGGTTGTAGATAGCTGTGCGCCGAAATATGTTGAAGCTAAGTGTCTTTTACTCCGTTTCGTTTACGTATTATATATGTTCTTCAGGGCGATCATGTGATACCACCGATGGATAATCCAAATAGCGTATTGCATCCGTTATTACCGGCTTCCTCATTGAAGTTCACGGCATTCGTTTTATCGTCACCTCATCTACGTCCACACTGAGCGAGCAACAAACCACCTGTTCCGTTTATGAGAAGTCAGTAGGGCATTT